CCTAGTGAAGTGCTTTAGAAAAGAAAATTGACGATTATCCCCCTTATGTTGGTTCCTCTGAACCAACTTACTACGGCGATTTTCGCCAGGTCTACCGAGAAAAAAATACGGCTGAATTAGCGAGAATTAAAGGGGTAGCCCAAGCCAAGGCGGAGGAATATCAAGCCGTCGCGGACCAGATTACTCCGCTACTTGAAAAGATTAAGGATATCGAGGCTAAATATAAAATGCCCGCTATACCCGCTTCGGGAGGTTCCGACCCCCTTAACCCTCCTACTACTTTGAAGTGAGATATCAATAAATTAAACGCTGACCTGCAAAAGTTAAAAGCGGTTTCCCCCGCCACCGACCCCACTAAGTCCGAAAACGGCACCGCTTTATCTTCGGCTCAGCGGAAATTTTTCACTGAAAACCAACCGGCGATTAAAAAAGGCTTATTAGAATTAGAAAAAGCCGTCTATTTGGTCGAAGTGGGAGCGGAATTGAGTAAAATGGAAAAAGATAATATTGAGTCAGCGAAGAGTAGGGAATTATTGAATAATGCGAAAATTACTGTTAATTTTTGAAGAAATATTTTACCGAGTTCCACAGAACTCCGGCAAGTTTGAGAAGTCTATTTTTATGGTAATCTTAAAAAAATCTGACCGGAGACAGTTGATTTTAAAGATTTAAAAAAACTGACTGAACTGGGTTGAGATAAATATTTCACTGATGCTACTAAATTGGGAGAATTACAAGCTGGGTTCGTGCTAACCGATTATCAAACTTCCACCGGAAAAAAACTTAAGATTAATTGTTTAAGGTGAACTTATAATGCTGACTTAGATTTAAAATTGGAACGAGCATTTGAACTCGACTCTCTACTCTGAGTTCCTCCGTTAAGCAACCAAGAAAAAAGGTTATTTGACCCCACCGCCGCAGACAATGAAACCGCCGCTCTTAACACGGCCGAAAAAGTCGCCGCCGCGGCCAAATTATTATTCCAGGTGCGGTCGATTCGCGGAGTCGGTCAGACCTTGGATAATTGAACGGGCGAAGATATTAGCGAATATAATGCGAATTATGCTGGTCAATTAGCAACTTTGACTGCTCCGGAAAATTCCGAGGTTCAGGCGGCGTTTGACCGAATTTTTGATGGTTTAACTACTAAAATTAAAACTAAATACGCCAGTTTAAAAGGTTGAGATGACTTTTTTGCCGAACACCAAATTACTACGACGGCGGCGAAAAATAATTGAAATAGTTTCCGCAGTCAGTCCGATGGTTTAGACCGAGCCAAAGCATTATATACGCAAGGTTTAGAAGGCAATGATGATTATCCGTGAAGCGAAGTAGCCTTAAATGATACCGACCGAGATAAAATTAACCACGCCCAAAGTCCGCATGAGATTACGGAAAATCAAAAAGAAGTGGCTTGAGACCAATTTATTCGCACTCACGAGATTACCGGAGGGGAAATAACCGCTTGAAAAGTAGCCAGTGGCTTTACGGTCGCCGAAGCCCAAAAAACTCATGCGAAAGGCTGAACTAAACTAACCATCCCCCAAATTAGAAATTTAGCCAACAAAAAATTTGATTACCAGCCGGATGCTTATCAAGGACATAATTTTGCCCTGCTAACCGGTCTAACTCCTTGGAAAGCTGGTGAGGAAGTTAGTTATTCAGAAGTTTTGAAGGCACTTGAAACCTTGGGTAAAATTAATACCGAAACTGATATCAGAAAATTAGTGAACGACTTTACGGATGAAAATATTATGGCCGCCTACTCGGAAACCGAAGCAAAGTATTATCCCTACCGAGATTTACAAGTTGCTCGCGAAGCCAAGAGATTAGAATTATTCAAAGACAATTTTGAAAAAGCCCGTTTAGACATTAGCAATGGAACATACATAGCAAGTGAAATTAACGACGATGCGGAATATCAGGTTTGATTAGAGGAACCCACTGGTTTAGCCAAAGATGGAAAAGACGAACGGACGGCTTATGAACTGGGTTGGAAAAATCCGCAAGGAGAACCAGGCAAATACTCCGTAATTAGAGGAAAAAAAACTAACTATTGTGAAACCATTACTCGGGCGGATGGCTCAACCCCCGAATTAAAATGAGATGGAGTTGAAGTTTTAAAAATTAAACTCGCGGAATTAAAAGTTGCCTTAGATTTAAAGCAGGATATTGAGCGACAAACCAGGAGTAGTGATTTAGAAACTTTTTGGTCTAATCGGACAGCGGAATTTAATAATTTAAAGAACAATTTATTACCCGCCGACTTAAAAAAGAATAATTTAATAACTCTCTATCAAACTACCCTTAAAAATTTGAAAGAAGATGAATTTATTGCTGATTTTGTCGCCCAAAATGGTGAGGCGAAGCAGTTCGCGGAAAAACAGAATAATCGGGATAAGGTTTTAGCCTTTCAGGTTCGTCCGGTTTACCGGTTTGATGCAGATAGTAATAGTTGAGTCCGCGATGGAAGTAGTAAAAGAAAAATTACCGGAAAGGAGGGGGGTGAATTCTTTAACCGGGGTTGAACTGAGCCGACGGAAATTATAATGATTACTCGGGACGGAATAAGTTTCGAAATTGGAATAGTTTACGAAAATGAACTTTTGGATAACACCCTAACCAAGGCGGAAGTAATCAAAAGGAATTGAATTACGAAATTTGGAGATGCTCCCGGAAGTTTGCCACTGCCAACCCAGGATGAAATATGGGCTTATAGCAAAGAGGGAAAGGTTCCGGCCACTACCGCTCGCCAAATTTTTGAAAATGGCTGAACGGCGAATGATTTTAATTGATATGGACTCGTCCAAGAGGCGAGGGGTGCCTATGGTTCTCATAGTCAACCGGTTGAGACGGATCTTAATATGGCTGAAATTAGCCGAATAGAATTAGATAAAGCAAATCGAATATTAGAAAGAATTAGCCAAGCCCAACAAGTAAGTGATTTACCAACTGAGCCGGAAATTGAAGCGATTATTGAAAATAAAGTGACGGCGGGGAAAAATCATGCTAGCGTTAAAACCGACCGTAATGCCAAAAAAGCCCAATTAGAGCAAAGAGCGGCCGACCAGCAAGCCCGCACAGCGGCCATTCAGGCAGTAAAAAATACTTGAACTTCGCTAAGCCTGAGCGAAACAATTACAAATCTCCTTGGTGATGATTGAGAAAACAATTTTGCTACCCTCACTGGAACGGCTATCACGCAGGAGGAAAATCGCCTTAAAACCCTCCTCCAACGAGCCAAAGCCCAACCGGAAATCACCGCCATTGCCGAGGAACTAAACAAAAAACCCGTGGTAGACGCCAGTGAACTCCAAAACTCAGATTATCAGACCGAAATGAGCGGACTAGCGAGCGATGATAGCCAACGAGCCACTCGCAAAGACGAAATCCTGGCGGAAATTACCAGATTGAGAACGGCAAAATTAGACCAAGTGCGAACTATTCTCAGCACGGCAAAAGGTATTTTAGATAAAGATGGAGCAACCAAGGAAGAATTAGAACAAGCCGTTAATGACTTAAAAACCCTGGCTAATGCTCCCGCCGATAGTGCCGAACAAATAGTGTGAGCAGAAAAGCAAACTGAAAACCAAAAATTATTGACTGATTTAGAGGCCAAAATCCCCCACTTTGACCCGGTTCCTGCCCGAGCCGCGGCCATCACCGCCATCAAAAATCACTGAAAATCCAAATCCCACGACCAAACCGAGGATGGCACCATCAATAGTCAAAAGATAACCGAACTTTTAGGTGCTAATTGAGAAAATGAGTTTGACGATAAAAACACCCAAACCGAGATTGATAGCAAAAAAACTGAATTAACCGCTAAAATTGATACCGCCAAAGCCCAAGAAAAACCCACTCCCGAGAAAAAAGCCGAGGAGGTAAAAAAGGTAATCAGTGAGATTATTGCGGATAGTGAGATTGAAATTCCCTCCGCGGTAGTTAGTTCTTGACAAGCGTTTGATAATGATCAATCCGAGTTAAAAACCCCCGAACAAATTAAAGAATTCATCACCAAGAGTATTCCGGAGCAGGAAAAAGCAGAATTTACTAAGCATTTAAGTGAGTTGACCGAGGTCGAAAAACCAACTGGTTCGGGTGAAGAAGAGCAATTTAAGAACTTTATGGCCCAGCAAAATGCCGAAGTGGTAGTCAAAGCCGTTTGTAGTTATAAATTAAAAAAAGATGATAATTTGCGGAATGAAATTGCCACGGAAATGGAAAATCAAAAGGATAGTGAGGGACAAGCATTAGATGAAAAAGTTTATCCCAAAAAAGATGGTAAATATACCCCCGAGGCGATGGTAAAATATCTTTTTGAGAAAAAAACTGGTCAGGCTCATGCCTTTTCAGCAAAAAGTAGTGGGAACCAAAATTCCCCAACTAACTCAGAAAGTCATTGAGACCAATACAAATATTGATATATTTGCGGAGGAGTTTTAGTGCTATTAGTGGCTGGATTAGTGATAGCGTTCTGAGATAAGTTGACTGGTTCGCCGGAAAAGGAGGAATAATGATGAATAAGGTGATATAATATAATAAAATTAAATATATATACAATCAAAAAATAATAACAATATGGTAACTATCAAAGAAGTAGAAGTAAAAAAAATAGACGACGAAAACATAAAAATCGATGGAGTTCAAATAACAATTGATGAATATAATAGCAACATAAGAGGTTATAGCAAACTTGACATGCAGGATGCAATTGAATATAAAAAATTAGACGACGAGATATTTGGAAGTATCAGGGACGAAGATGGAGAATATCTTCCTGACCATATCCAAATTAAAGAGTCTAGAAAAGTTAGATATACGGATTATGCCCTTTGGAAAGAATGTAAACGGAGAATTAGAGAGGATGAAAAAAATCTAAAAGGCACTATGACGATTATGAAAAAAGACAAATATCGTGGTATTAAAGGCGATGATGAAGTTAAAATCCAAGATATCGTTAGAAAAAATAATGCTGCTTTACAACGTAATTTAGATTTATACCGAGCCACCTTACCTTTTTTACGGGATTTAATCAGCAAAAAAGTAGAAATTGGGCAGGGATTAGGCACACCTCTAGTTAATCCGGATGCTGACTTAAATCGCGAAGAAAAAGGTAAAAGACATAAGCAACTTAATTCCTGTCGGGATGA